TGATGACCACTAGCTACTAATCTGGCTTCGTAACGGTTGACGCTACTGTCTTCATTCACTAAACTCCAGGTATTATTCTCCATCAGCGACGCGTGCTCAGACCTCATGGCATCTAGTCACAAGTCAAGAAATTTTAGTCATTCACAAAACGGACAACAAATTGTTCCTAAAATTCGGCACCAACATTGTATTTGTTCGTCCGCCGTACGTGTTTACACTTATTTTCACTTCACCCACGCCCGCGGATGTAATGGATTGTTTCGACGCCGTATACACTTTGACACGCATTTCATTATTTATACTCGAAAATTTGTTTTTATCATTGCACATATGCATTGTAGTACTACTGTCTAAACACCAGTTCACGCACTTCTCAGGTTCGGCATTTAACACTGCAGTTGGCGTCGCATCTTCCGTGCTGTTTGCGGTGAAATTTTCTTTCTTCACTTTGCAATCGCTTGATCGATGTCTTCGTCTTCCACATTTAAAACAATTTTCATTGAATTTAGCTGCTGTAAATCTTGTATTACGTCCTCTAGTGTTTCCACGATAACACTTATTTTTATGTGTTTTACTTTTGACAACTAGCCCGTCCTCATCACATGCCGGTTCTTTATTCAGTAGTTCAACGTGCCTCGCTACCTGTTCTCTGATCTTTAGTTTCAACGATTTCACGCTCGCAATATCGTCATGTGATTCAATCGCAATACAGAATCCCTTGTACTCCGTTAGTAACAAATTTAGCAACATTATCGACAATATTTCGTTTGAAATCTTTATACCGGCTTCTTGTTCTGTCCTTGAAAGAAAACAATTGATGTATTGCGTCATGCTCTGTCCGGCATCCTTTTTCACTCTGTATAACTGTTTATACAACCCTGGCTTTCTTACTGGGCCGTTGGATTCATGGGCTTGGTGTAAATTCGTACATGCTTCAGCTGATGTTTCAGCCTTTTTAATGTGCACTAACTGATTCTTGGACACACTTAGCAAAATCAATGCCAGGTCCTGTCCGTCTTTATTCATGCCTCCTGATTTTCCTCTGTTGGGACACACTTTTCGTTCGCATAGGACTATAATTCGTTGCAAATAAGAATACTCTTCATTTGTAATTTCTACGATTCATAATCCTTATCATTTAATTTTTCGATTTAATGCATCGAAGGGATCGTGACCATATTCTTCAACAGATTCTTTTATTCGCAACATTTTTTACTTCCTGTCTTTACATAGTTCTTCCTATTTTTTTCATCTTACTTTAATTCGGACGCGTTCTTAGGCCCATAACCTGTTTATTCTAATTTAAAGGGGGAACGAGAGAAGAAGAACCAATAGGAAGAAGACAATAGAAAAACAAAAAACGACACACGCACGCCTTTTAGTTCACACCACTACCAGGGCGCATCGATCGTCCTATAATCTATTTGGGCTTATTTCCAACAAATAAATATTTATTTA